GAGATAAAGTGAATTTCAGAGGTAACTATTTCAGCGGCTCGTTTATTTTTCTCTGCAAATTCCTGATGGGGAAGGAGAATCATTTTGGGTTTGCTTAACAATAGTTTTTTGGGGGAAAACTGAGAATTCATAAACTTTGCTCCTTTAATTTGTGACCACAAAAAGTTCAGATTCCTTCCCAATTATTCAGATTTGAACTTTTAACAGTAATTACATATTTCTACTATAATCAGCCACAGTCTTTATACAGCAGAGAGCATAAATAAAATTTGAATTGCTAATTGTAAAAAACAAAAAAGCAAATATTTTTTTTTTCCTTGAGGTATAAAAGCTCTCACTTGTCATCTCGCCCTCTCCCTCATTACTGTCTCTCTTATACATAAAAGAAGAGCAAAAAAAGAATACACATTCCCTTATTTCTTGATTTCACATCAAGAAAACCGACCAGCTTAGAAATATGAGGAATGAGGTACTGGGCCTTGCACAAATTGCTCACTCCAATTCTCAAAACCATGTTCCTGAAGCGCTGGAAGAAACCAGAGAACGTACCACAAGAGCTTTTCATTCTAACCAACTACGATCCAGCCATTGGTGACGAAGGGAAGCGGGCAAGGGAGAAAGGAGGGTGGGAGAATGAATGAGTCAGATGGATTATGGAGACAAAGCACCATTCCCCAGCCTAGCAAAACTGGCTATTTCCAGCAGAACAAAACCCTATTTATTATATAGCAGTAAAAAAGAACAGGGTCTACTATGTGTCCACAGGTGTGGAAGTAAGAGCAGGGCCTGAGAGCTGTAGCAAGACAGGATTCCTTCTCATGAAGAATCCTAGAGAGGAGATGAGCGATGCTTGCTTGATGAAGAGAGGAGCAACATTTTAGGCTTCTAGGACCACAGGACAGAATGGCAAAGGGACAACATGGCAAATGACATGCAAAGAGCAGTACAGAGAGAACCGGGAGGAGGACTGGGGTGTAGGAGGAAATGAGAGTAAAGAAGTAGGCGGGGTGGAAACATGCTGGGCCTTAAAGGTGCAGGAGAGGAACCTGACTGTGACATGAGGGTAGGAAGCTTGGGATGGGATTCAGGGAAGGGTTCACAAGGTCAGGAACTAGCAAAAATCTCTGTGTTGTCTACCTTTAAGCTACCAACCTGAGGTTTGTAATAGGATGGGGTAGAGGATGGGGCAGGCCCAAAGACAGAAGGATAAAAGAACAGCCTAGGCCAAATCTTGGCAACAGCACCACAGGACACGATATTAAATTGGTTTTAAACTCTGCTGCATAGTCTCCAAGTTCTGAAACGTTCCCAATATTCTGCATTTGCATTTCAAACTTAAAATGAAAATTTGCAATTAATTAATTATGAAAACATACAGCAGCATGCTTGGTTGCTCTCTTTCTCAGCAATACACATAGACAGACTGCCTTTAATAGCGAAAACATGAGTACAGGGCACAAATATGTTATAGATTTTTAAGTTCATCATACATTCCTTAGAAGGAAGAAGGAAACAACAACAGCAGAATAGACAGCAAGTTGCTGCCCTAGCAAGATGATAAGCATTTGGAGGTTGAACACATCAACTGGGTATTTTTGCTAAAATAACACGATGTGCAACAGCCAGTAATAGAGATTTAAATGCTTTTCTTTAGGCTTCAGAGTTAACACAACTGGAGAGTTCAAACATTTCAGAGATACCATTTTTGGCTGTCTATTAATCTGGGCGCTACTCATATTTTCAAAGTTGTCTTCCAGACCAAAAATGCTAGAAGCAGTATTTTTTCAAGTTTCAATTCTGAAGCACCACTCAGCGACGGATTCTAGAAATGGAGTTCTACAAACCACAGAGGGTTCTCTATGAAAGTCTCTGGTTACAATTCTACCCAAGGTTGGGAGAAGCAAATGGAAAAATGAGTCCAGAAGCATTTCATCTTTTGCTTCCTAATGACCGAGATGTAATTCCTGTCTGACAGCTGTGTAAAATGAGATAATCAGCTCAGTCCTGCTCTTGAGGGACAGCTGTCCATATCACGGTTACCATTAACCACACCTCCTCTTCTGACACTTGAAGTAAAGGGCCAAAGGTCCAAACTGTGATGCAGATTCAATCTCCCACTATATGAATGTCGGCTGAAGTTTAGAGGAGGAGCAAAGACACCTGTACATCTGGGATAAAAAAAAACTTCTCCAGAGACACTAGCATTCAGCTGTGTTTTTAAAAGTACTACAGTAGTCACAACCCCATCTCAGACTGGGAAATTATATCCAAACTCCTCAAACTGTTTACTGTATTTTATTCCAACTTTTCTGACTCCTTATTCTACCCTAGAAACTTGCCTACAGAACCAGATTTCAAGACAAAACCCAAGAACTTACAGAACACACTTATAAACATTAATATAACCTCATGATCTTCCAGCAATGTAATTCTTTTCCCATAACTCTCTAGACCTTCTCATTTCATTTTACTTAAGAGCTTGACCTGAGAAATGCCACACACAGTTCTCAGATGAGAGCAGAGTGCACATAGGACAGGATCAGACTGCTTCAACTTTAAAAGTCAACTTTGGAAGTGTGAATGTCCAATGTTAAATTTATGAACCCCTACATGCATAACTGTCTCCTCACTCAAATGTTGGAAGACTTCATTGCTTCTGTTGAGGTCAACTCTACATTCCTGCGCGCTTACAAGAATTAGGCTATTTAGTTAGGTACCTAAATGTGGTTTTTAAAGTCTAATTTTAGGTGTTCAGGTTTAACATTCTTAATGTACACTCTTAAAGACAGAGCATTTTCATTTAAATGCGTCTATAAAGCACCTTGCGCTTTTATGAAGATAAATAATATTCTCCCTTTTTCTTTTATGGATACTTTTATATAAAATAAATGGTGCAGAACAGCTGCAGTATTCCACCTCAGAGGAAGCTGCATTTTAGCCTGTCATAAACATTTGACGTAAATACCATGATCACACTGAAGAGCTATGCTCTCTAAAAATTATTCCCTTCCTTAAATTTATCACTATGTCCTAGCTTTTGTATAGCTGTGTTTTAGACCATGAGATTTTCAGAGCAGAGATTGCCTTAATTTTGTGCGTCCAAGTCAGCACTGAATGCCCTGTCAGCAATTAACATGCGACTTTCGGCCCTGTATGTCTGTCATAAATATTTAAAGCCCGGGCAGCAAATCCAAAATCTTAATCTTTATCATGAATAACGAAGAAAAATTAAAAAAATGTTTCATGTACAAAATGATAGTTGTGGGAGAGCCGAATTCTGTAAGGCTGGCATACATATTCTGTAAAGTGCCCTGGCATCCATCAGAGCCAAAAGCACTTGAAAAATGTCAAGTCATTACTGTGAGTAAGGGGGCAGCACGAGGTAAATTAACCTCAAGAGCATGAAAAGTCAGTTACCCCCTTGAATGTACAAAGGCCAAAATGCCTCAGTTATCTCTTTCTCTATGCTAGATAACACAGCTGTACTCAAAACAGGCTGATTGCATAACTATAGGGCAACAGGTAGAAGGGCATCTAACAGTACCCCCTGAGCATATATATGCTTCATGGTTCAGCCTTCCCTTGGAAAGAGGCACCTTCTGAAGCTATGGGTAACTGTCAAAATTCTCTGCCAAAATGGGGAATCACTCTGGAGTGGCCTGGCATCTTTTGTCTCATCTTGCTAGCATATTACACCAAGGAGTTCCTTCTTCAGGGACTCCCTGTTAACCATTGTGCTCCCAAATGGATTCCAAAAGGGTTCCTGTCCTGGCTAAGGACCCTTTGATCTTGGATTTCCTCACTGCTATCTCGCTGGAGAACAGAAACAGGAATATCTCAGGTGAGATATCCTTAGGCGTGATTTTCCTGCTACAGGAATCTGCTTTGCCTTCCTTTGCGATGAAGTCTCTCTCAGACTTGATTTCTCAGGAAATGGCTATGTTAGTGTCAGAATACTCATTTCTGAGTGGAAATTAACTGCCTCATTTACAAAAAAAAAAAAAAAAAAAGCAGGAGACCAGCTGGTATGTCTTCACTCCTGCATACCCACATCTTTCACTGATTCACAGATTTCCTTATATCCTCACTACTTCCTCTACTGCTTAACAATCTAGTTTGAAGATAAGTGCTGTTGTGCTTTGCAATGGCTGTGTCTGAATCAAGGAACCCACCCATTTAAAAAAAAAAAAAAAAAAAACAGCCAGCTTGGCTCACCGCAGCACTAGCATTAGAATTCACATTCCTAGCCCCTGAATGTGGTGTAAAACACAGAGGAAGACTGGTGACAACAGAATGGCTTCTTTTGGCTTTACCAGCACCATCACGATTTTCACTCCCAGGCCCCTGAGCGCCACAGAACCCACTCTCAAGGGCACCCTTTCCAGAATTTACCCCACAGCCCCGAGGTACAATAGGACACAGATCTCAGAGCACTAGCACCGGGATCTGCACGTTCAGCTCCCGAGCACAGCGAGGTATGCCTTGCACAATGATTTTATTCCCACAGTTGTGAGCATAGTAAGACCCACATGGAGAACAACTGACACTCCAACGCCACGGGAGCATCCTTGGACACTAGTGCTACAAATCACTGCTCCCACCTCCTCAAAGCATTTTTGGCCAGTATTATCCTTCCCAGTGACGCCTAAATGACAGAAATTAATGTCACACCAGTGATGATAAAGGCTGAGTCTAAGGTGAATACACCAGCAAGAGACGGTAAAAGGGAGAGGGCAGAAAGGCTTCTGACAATTAACTAGGGCTAAGGTCTCCCATAAGCTAAATAGTGAGGGAAAGAATGAGGTCAATTCCATATAGCATATAAGGGAGCTAAATGAGAGACGCAGAAAAAGAAGGCTGGGGAGAGGTTCAGAAACAGAAGGAGAGAGAGAAGATTAAAACGAAAGCAGATACAATGAGAAGAGACATGGAAAACAAGGACAGAAGGCTACAGAGAAGGACAGCTAGGAATAGAGAGGTGATATAAAGTGGTCACTCACTCTGTCTGGAAGATTTTCTGGAGGGAGATGGATTATCTTCAGTGCTGGCTTCTGGGGCGCTGCCCTTCACACTCCTTCTCTGAGACCCATCCTCAGAGTGTTGCTGTCTATTCCAAGAGCTTCTTCAAGAAATATTTCGAGGGCGAAGGGATTGCGGATGAAATCAGGATCTTAAGTATTAAAAGAATCTGCTTGGGATTGTCAGTCCCCTAAAACTGCTGGGTTTATCCCAGGATGGAGATACTCTCTCTCCTTTTTGGCAGCTAACTACTAAACGAGTGTTCCCCTGGGAGACAGCCTTTTCACCGATCGCCGGATTATTTCAGAGATCAATTTCCCCAGTCTCCCTACCTGTAAATCTCTCTTCTCTTTCCTTTAGGTGCACCCTGTCCTTAAGGGTGGGCAATTCTCTTCCTCTGAAAAAAATTCTTGCTATGTCTGTGGATATTATCAGTGAAATCTGCCTTTTCCTTTCCCTGTAACTAGGAGGCGTGTCTTCTCTCCTTGCACAGGGTATTTGAAGAAGACCCTGTTGGGATTAGGGATCTTCCTTGGGATGAAGGAAGATGAGGTCAATATTGGAAATTACCTTTATCTCCAGTGGTTAACAGCAACTGGAAAAGGAAAGAAGATCTAAACCTGCCTCTGCTTTCTCTCCCTTGTTTTGCTCTCTCTGCTGCCTGCTGAGCAGATGAAAATAATTAAAATTACTAGGTAAGTATCTGGAGCTCCTGCTTATTTCTGTCTCGGGGACTGCCTCTCTTGGGCATACGGGGTTTCTTCTGCGGAGGCTCCCCTTGCTGCCTGGTCTGGGGATGAGCTAGGGAAGGGCTGTCTCCTCTCCTTGGGGGAGGAATTTCCTCAGTAGTTGAGGGGAGTAGGTGGTAAGGGTTATTCTCACAACCCTCAGAAACTGGGGTCTAAGAACACCTCTCCCCTAAACAGGTACGGAGGGAGCTCCAAGAGGCTCTATTCCACGGCAAGGAAGAGCAGACCCGCTTCTAGATAGCGACCAGGGCTGGGGGGCCTCTGCCCACCTTCGGCTCGTTAGTGGGGGAAAGAAGCAAAATGTTAAGCTTCCCCCTCCGGTTGCCGGGAAGGGGGCCGGCGGGTGCGCCCCGGCCTGCCAGCGAGGCGGGGGTGCCGAGGGGCCGCCGGGGCGTCCCCCCCGCCGCCGGGAGCGGGGCTGCCTAGCGGGGTG